AGACATAGGGAAACTTTCAAGTGTAGGTAGCGCACATAGGTGGAACTCTCCGTCTGGTTTGGATAATCTTAACCACAGTGATGGTTTCTTCATGTGTCGGATATCTGGCTGACCAACAAAATTCACATGTGACCCACAAACAAACCAGAGAGTGCCTGAAATCATAGAACCATAGAAATATAAAGCACACAAGGAGGCCATTCGGCCCATCGTGTCTGTATCGGCTCTTTGACAAGAGTTATCCAAATCAATCCCACTCCCCCGTTCTCTTCCCATAGCCCTGCAAACATGTCCTCCTCAAATAATTATCTACTTCTCTCTTAAAAGCTGTAGACATCTAGAAGATATGAAAAGCAAGGATTATTATTATTATTATTATTATTATTATTATTATTATTATCGAATCAGCTCCCACCACCCTTTCAGGCAATGTGTTCCAGATCCGAAAAACTCGCTGTGTGAAAAGATTTCTCCTCAACTCCCCTCTGTTTCTTTTAACAACTATTTTAAATCAGTGTCCTCGGGTTACCGACCCACCCGCCAGTGGAAATAGTTTCTCCTTCTTCACCCTATCAAATCCCCTCATAATTTTGAAAACTATTTTAGTTTTGAAAACTAAGGAAACTTGCCTAACTATTCTATTAAGGCTCCTCTTAACCTTCCCTGCTCTAAGGAGAATAATCCCGGCTTCTCTCGCCTCTTCTGATAACTGAAGTCCTTCATTCCTAGTACCATTCTGGTCAATCTCCTTAGCACTCTTTCCAATGTCTGGACATCCTTCCCAAAGTGTGGGGCCCAGAACTGAACACAGTCTCTCGCTGAGGCCTAACCAGTGTTTTATAAATGTTCATCATAACTTTCCAACTTTTGCATTCTATGCCCCCATTTATAAAGCCGTATCCCGTATGCTTTTTTAACAGCTTTATCTCCCTGTCCTGCCACCTTCAAAGATTTACTTATATGAACCTCCAGGTTTCTCTGTTCCTTCATCCCCTTTAAGATTGTACCATCAGCTTATATTGCCTGGATGGTACAATCTAAAAAAAATCGTTTTTTTTTATTTAAACAAAATAAATTTCTTTCATTTTTTAAAAAAAATCTTAATGTCTATCTTGCATAGAGGTCATTGGATAGTGATCAGTATCCTGGGGGGAGAGGGTTCAGTGTCTCCCTGGAGCTTGACCGGCTGCACGGTGATGTGACTGGCAATAAAATGTCGGAATGGAGCCAGTCCTCTGGGGCAGCCTCGGTAATCTGGTTTCTGAGACAGGTGTGTCTGCATTACAGCCAGGCATCTCCACAGTACTGCAAGGCACTGCGAACAACAGATCAGTCAACCTGGCTCATTGGCAGGGCTTGGAAGGACAGACCAGTCACTGAGGGCAGGGACTCGTCCCACTGAGCTAATGTTATCCTTGCAAGCCAAAGCCTCGGTAGGCGGTCCTAGCTTGCCAGACAGTGCTGTCAACAGTGAGTTACGGAGTTTTAATTAAACTCCAGCAGTACCTCAATGTACTCTCTGGGGTCCCCAAGTGCCAATCTGCGACTAATAATTTCTGGATTTAGGTAAGCAAGATGTGTCCCTCCAGGGAGAAAGGGACAATATTCTATCTATTCAGGATTTCCTGGGATATTCTATTCAGGATTTCAGGATTTCCTGGGATGTGTAGGTGGAATACTCATCTTCGTTTGGATACTCTGAAGCATGGAGATGGTTTTCCGCACGTGACAGACACCCAACTGACCAAAAAAAATCTAAAAAATTAGGTCAACAGGATGCGTCCCTCCAGTGGAGAGAGTGTTCCATTGCAAATCCCATGTATAGGTAGGAATAATAACAATAATAATCCTTGCATTTGATAGAGCGCTTTTCACGTCTTCTAGATGTCTCAAAGCGCTTCACAGAATATGCTGCAAAGTGAATTGACCGTATATTTGTGGGTGAAACGCGGCAGCCAATTGCGCACAGCAGTGTCCCACAAACAGTCGTGGATTGAAAATGACCAATTTATTATTGTTTCTTTTTGGAGGGATTATTATTAGGCTCTGTGTGGAGTAAGGAAAACTTGTCCAAGGTTTCGCCCTCTGCCTGGAATTGAACCCAAGTGTCTCGCTTGCAAGGCGAGCACTCCAACCACTGAGCTACAGGACTCCACGACACATGGAGTACACATGGAACTGTCTGGTTTGAATACTCTTAAGCGTGGGGGTGGGTTTCAACATGTGTCAGACAGCTGGCTGACCAAAAAAAGGGATCAGAGATCGAATTGGCTGACGTTCTGGCTAATTTTTTTCCCCTCCCTCCCCCTCTCCTCCCATCCCCAGCACAAAGGTATTAATATAATAATAGCATCCTTGCTGCTCCCCCAGTTGGGATCACTTAACTTGACAGACCAGAATTTGGACATCTGAAAAAGGCCACTGAGTTCAAGTCCTCTGGTACAATACAATTTGCATTCCTACAGCACCTTCCACATCGGAAGGACCTTTCAACGCGCTTCACAAACTGGGTGGGCACCCGAGCTGGGGATAGGAGCCAAGCGGATTGGGGAGGGGAGAGATGACTGAGAGTGCGGTCAAAGAGAGGTACATTTTCAGAGGTGCTCTGGAAGAGCGCAGGGAGGGAGTCTGAGGGAATCTGTGATGGAATTCCAGAGTAGAACTCTCCCGTTCTTTTTCCCGCTAATCCTGGGAGATGGCTTACACAACCCAGACCCTTGCAGTTCTCTATGTTTACCAATTGTTAAATAATCCTTGCATTTGATGCAATATTAATAATAATCCTTGCATTTGATACAAAATTAATAATCCTTGCATTTGATATACAGCGCCTTGCCTTATCACATCATTGAGACATCTCAAAGCGCTTCACAGAATATACTGTAAAGTGATTGACTGTATTTTGGGGGCAAAATATATCATCTTTCACATTAGGAGGACATCTCTAAGTGCTCCACACTTAGTGTAATAATAACTAATAATAATATTTGTATTTGATATAGCACCTTATCACATGGTTGGGATGTCTCAAAGCACTTCACGGAATAAACTGTCAAGTGAATTGGCTGGATATTTTGTGGGCGAAATGCGGCAGCCAATTGCGCACAAGAGTGTTCCTCAAACAGTCGTGGATTACTGTAACGTGTAGTGACTGTCTATTTTTGGGAGAATAAACGTACGGCTCAGTATTTCCCAGATCGTGGTATTTACCAGATGAACCTTGCCATCACATGGCTGCCATTCAAGTTCAAACCCACTGAATTAATTCATACACCCACTTGAACACGACTCACTGTCAACCCCCAGAAGTCGCTGGTTTTGGTCCTCAGTGCGAATGTGCAGGTGAACCTGAAACTCGAGAGAGAGAGAGAAACGACTGGACAACTGTCTAGAAAACCTGTTTAGTTTATTAGACAAAATATAAAGTATTTATATCCCAATGTTTATTTACAGTTTTACTTTCGTATAAACACTCATTCAGGTATAAAACACACTGTAAACTATGGCAAAAAGAAAGCAAGAAAACTTCTGGATTCCTGTTAAAAAAAATTCAGTGTCCACATGTTTTGCTCTCCACAAACTCAGAGCCTCTCTGCACCGGGAGCATTATTGGGAGTGTTTAGTTATTTGTTTTGGGGAGAAGGGGGAGAAATTTGCAACTACAGAAGCTTATTTTGTAAAACAAAATCATTGTTGGGCATGTGTGTATTTTTTAAGGGGGTGGGGGGGGGGTGTTGTGAGGATATGGAAGATTTTAAACCAATTTTCCACTCATTATAAAATATTTTCAGTGTTCAACCACTCGAGTTTTTTTCTTATTCTTTCTCTTTCCTCCCACCTCCCGAATCTGTAGAAAGTCTTCGATTAACTTTTTAAAGGCAGGCTTTTTGTAGCTTGCAAATGTTCACTCATATACGTGTAACTAACTGTGTCGTGTGTGTGTGGCTATTTATGTATATATTTGTGTGTGTGTAGATTTCACCTAATCAACTCTATTCACGCCAAATTACTAGTGTCGATTAACATCCAAGCCAAAAGAAGTGTGTGAGACTGTTTGTGTCCACTTTTTTTCCCCAGTTCAGAGACTCTGAAGAATTCTGAACACACAGATATAGTTTTTTTAAATAAGATAATCGTTTCGGTGTTTGTTCTCACGTCTATTCAGAGGTGTGTGTGTCTCTCTCTCTCTCTTTTAACAAGAAAATCTTTCTTGACCCCTATATATATTTATACAGTGTGTGTATGTATGGGTATATATATATATATACACACACACACACACACACTAACCACCCTGTAACCAAAATCTAGATTTTCAGAAACTGCAGGGCGGGAGATTGGAGACGGAATTCTGCAAAAATTAAAGGTACCATCATTTTTGTTAATTAAAAACTAAACTCACAATGATTATCTGTGTGTGGGGGTTAGTTTGCACAATGTAATGCAGCTTTGTGTGAGTGAGTGAGTGAGTGTGAGTGAGTGAGCACATCAGGTCAGGGCTGGCAGTTGTCCATAGATTTAACACACGCAGGCTGGAAGGGTTACATTTCGGGGTTTTGCTCTTAAAACACACCAAAAATCATCTGTTCAGAAAGACAAAACACGTACACATCACCCCCCCCCCCCACACACACACACACACACACCCCACACCAAAAAAAATACTCAGTTAATCCGAGTCTAATTAAAAGAGAAAGAGGTGGGAGAGGAACGTGGGGCTTTGCTTACAAAGTCGGTGTTTTTAAGGATGATGATTTTTTCGCCTCGACTTCTGTGTGTGTGTGTGTGTGTGTTTTTTCTAGAAAAAAGGTTAATAAAAAACACACGATCTGGTCACTGGAAGCGCAAATTAATCCATCGTGGAAACCGTTTGCCTTTTGTTCACATCAGAGTTGCTGGTGAGAGAGAGAAAGAGAGAAAGAGAGAGAGAGCCCCAGTCAGTGCCTTTTGCTATCAGAGCAGAGAGAGATGTGCTGTGTGTGTGTGTATGTGTCTGTGTGTGTTCACTGGGCAACATAAGGGCAATTTGGGGGGGGGGGGAAGGGGGTGAAAAAGTGCTGGGAAACCGCCCTGGGGGACTTTTTGTGGATTTTTAATTAAATGTTTTTTTTTATAAAAAAATCACTGATCAACAAAAATCAGTGATTTTTTCCTCACTGATCTGCACCTGGGAAATGCCGCTTGGATTGGGTCCTGGAGTTGTGGTTCAACACGAACTGCCCCCCTTTGAGACAGCCAGCAGTCCAGACCTGACAGTGACCCACTGGGGCCGGGGGCAGGGGCTTGGGCTGAGCGACTGACCCCCGATTGCTTTGCCCGGTGTCTGAGGTCGCCGTCTCCGCCAATGACCAGATCTTGGGCTTCTGTGAGGGGTTCGATCCCATCTCCATCGCCACCATCTTCTCGCCCGACCCTTGGTCCCTTGTCCTGGCCTCACCCTCGGGTCCTCTGCCTCTCGCCCCAGCCTTGCCCTCGAGTCCACAGCAAGGTCTCTCCAAACCCAAGGTACCTTCACAACCGCCGAGCGGGTGAGGGGGTGCCTGGTCTCTTTTATCCTTGTTCTTCTGATCTCCTCTCATCTCCACCTCCTCGTCCTCAACCTCCTCCGCCTCTCCCTCCTCCTCCTCTTCCTCCTCCTCCTCCTCTCTTCTCTCCCCCTCCTCTTCGCTCTCGCTTTCCTCTGCGTCCGACTTGCTCTTGGGGACCCAACTCATCTTGTTCTCCTTCTTCAGGCGCCTCCGGGCGTTTGCAAACCAGGTGGAGACCTGGGTCAGGGTCATCTTGGTGACTATGGCCAACATGATCTTCTCGCCCTTGGTGGGGTAGGGGTTCTTCAGATGCTCGTTGAGCCAGGCTTTCAGGGTGCTCGTGCTCTCCCGGGTGGCGTTCTTGGCTCTCCCCGGGTCCCCGTGGGCCACCGGCCGGTAAGGAGAGTAGAGAGCGGCGGAGGAGAGGTTGGCGGCTTGCGGATAAATGGACTTCAACTCATGCGGATAAACCGACTTCAGCTCATAGGGACAGGCCTAGAGAAGAGAGAGGGGTGGTGGGGTGGGGGGGGCGGGGGGGGGGGGGGCAGAGGAGATGCTATTAGCAACACTCCACATGTCACTTCATTTTTATTAACTGTTTAATCGCTTTATTATCATCTTTTCCCCCCCTTTTGTTAAACAAAATCTTGCATTGGAATAGACTGATCGTGTGCGTGAGATTCCAATCTCTGCAGTGAAACGCGCTTGACTTGAGTTAAGGAATTAATCGTTGCGACTGTGGCTTTAGTATCTTTTTCTTTAAAAAAGAAATAAAGCCCCCGGTGAGATGTCGGCAAGATTTCCAGGTAAATGTCTCAGGTTTAGATCAGAACAGCAAAGTACAACAGCAAATTACACCTGTGATACCAATAGTGAAGTCAATTCAATGCAACGTGCGTTATATCTATTGGCATAATAATAGAATGATATAATATAATTATTATATAATGTAGTTATATTGTATAATATAAATAATCCTTGCATTTATACATACTGTATATACACATATAATATGCGTGTATAGTCTAAACAGTGTGTCCATATACACATCTATATACACACTATATAATGTTATATACTACACAATGTATGGTTTATATATCTATCTCCATAGATACACGTACACTATATATAATATATATAGCTTTATATATCCGGAAAAAGTTATTTTCGTAAGAATTAATGCTCACATTCAAGAGTTACATGAAATAAATTAACTTTTGTACACGGTTGATAGTTGAGAGCAAAGTCGCTGTTTTACCCGGAGATGAATAAAAACGGATACGATATCTTCCTTTCTATTAAGCGTTTTGGCGGCGACGCTACACGACACACTATGTACAGTACATAATCAAACGCAAGGATTATTATTTGGTTTCCTACTCGCCATACAAGAAATCTAATTTAGTTAAATCTAACCTCTGAACGGTCTGGTGTGTGCGTGTGTGTGGTTTTTTTTTAACGGGAAACAACACACTTATTCCCAGGCAGACGACAGGTGAACCGGTTTAAGCGACGTGATGGGAGATAGACAATGATTTCTCTCTTCCATGGGAGGACATGAAGCTGAGCGAATTTTAAGCCAAATTCATTGGATTTCCAGGTTGTTTAACTAACTAACCAACTAACGAACTAACCAACCAACCAACCAACTAACTGCGCACAGCATCTCTACCCCCGAAACACACCGCCAAACAGGACCAGCGGCGACCGGTCGATTTTAATTTTAATTTTAATTACGACTTTTAATTCATCTTCGGAGGTTGAAACCGGCGAACGCTGCTCCCTCCCGAGGAATGGGGCCGAGCAACAACAACAACAACAACAACAACAACAACAAGAACAACAAAGTTCATTTGGGAAAACTCCCCAATAACAACGATAATAATAATAATCATCATTATTAATAATAATTATCCCCCACACACACACACACAGCGCTGTAATACAATGACACTCATATTAGCATCAACGTACACACAGAGTGTGCGCACAGATATACTCACTGTGTAGATCCCAATGTATACCCTCCAGTGTATATGTTCGTAAATATACACCGAATATATTACTATTATAGATAAAACTATATATGTATGTACAGTTGTATGTGTGTTGTGTGTGTTGTGTGTTGTGTGTGTGTTGTATGTGTGTTGTGTGTGTGTTGTATGTGTTGTATGTGCACTACAGAGTGAATAGTTTGAGCGATGCGGTTCAATGGGTATAACTGACAGTAAGTGAAGTGCGGTCCAGCGCTGATACAGACGTATATGGACGATGTGACCCCATATCCGCACACACACACACACACACACACACAGGGTCCGGGGGGGGTCCCGGGGGGGGTCACGGGGGGGGTCCCGGGGGGGGTCCCAGGGGGGGGGGTCCCGGGGGGGGTCCCGGGGGGGTCCGGGGGTCGGTACTCACCAGGTGCCTGAGGTCGGGGTAGGGATGGAGGCTGTAGCCCTGAGACAGGGGGTAGGACCCCGGGAAGCGACCCAGGAGCCCGTGCAGAGGGGGGACCCCCACCCCCACCCCCAGCCCCAGGGGGGCGCCGGGGGCCGCCAGCACCGCCCTCCGGTCCACATACACCACCGCCCCCGCACCCCCCGCACCACCGCCAGACCCGCACACCGCCATCACCAGCACTGCCGCGGCTGTGCGCTGCGCCGCCCGTGTGTGGGTATATATACCCTCCACCACACACAGCCCCTCCCACACCACAGCCCCTCCCACACACACAGCCCCTCCCACACACCACAGCCCCTCCCACACACACAGCCCCTCCCACACACACAGCCCCTCCCACACACACAGCCCCTCCCACACACACAGCCCCTCCCACACACACAGCCCCTCCCACACACACAGCCCCTCCCACACACACAGCCCCTCCCACACACACACAGCCCCTCCCACACACCCCAACACAGCCCCTCCCACACACCCCACAGCCCCTCCCACACACCCCCACAGCCCCTCCCACACCACAGCCCCTCCCACACCACAGCCCCTCCCACACCACAGCCCCTACCACACCACAGCCCCTCCCACACACACAGCCCCTCCCACACACACAGCCCCTCCCACACACCCCAACACAGCCCCTCCCACACCACAGCCCCTCCCACACCACAGCCCCTCCCACACACACAGCCCCTCCCACACACCCCAACACAGCCCCTCCCACACACATAGCCCCCCCCACCACACCCCCACACAGCCCCTCCCACACACACAGCCCCTCCCACACACACAGCCCCTCCCACACACACAGCCCCTCCCACACACACAGCCCCTCCCACACACACAGCCCCTCCCACACACACAGCCCCTCCCACACACACAGCCCCTCCCACACACCCAACACAGCCCCTCCCACACACAGCCCCTCCCACACACACAGCCCCTCCCACACACACAGCCCCTCCCACACACACAGCCCCTCCCACACACACAGCCCCTCCCACACCCCAACACAGCCCCTCCCACACACACAGCCCCTCCCACACACCAACACAGCCCCTCCCACACACCAACACAGCCCCTCCCACACACACACAGCCCCTCCCACACACCCCAACACAGCCCCTCCCACACACACAGCCCCTCCCACACACCCCAACACAGCCCCTCCCACACACACAGCCCCTCCCACACCACAGCCCCTCCCACACACACACACAGCCCCTCCCACACCACCCACCACAGCCCCTCCCACACACACACAGCCCCTCCCACACACACACACAGCCCCTCCCACACACACACAGCCCCTCCCACACACACACAGCCCCTCCCACACACACAGCCCCTCCCACACACACAGCCCCTCCCACACACACAGCCCCTCCCACACACACACACCACAGCCCCTCCCACACACCACACAGCCCCTCCCACACACCACACAGCCCCTCCCACACACACACAGCCCCTCCCACACACACACACAGCCCCTCCCACACACACAGCCCCTCCCACACACACACACACAGCCCCTCCCACACACACACACAGCCCCTCCCACACACACACACACAGCCCCTCCCACACACACACACACAGCCCCTCCCACACACACACACAGCCCCTCCCACACACACAGCCCCTCCCACACACCCCAACACAGCCCCTCCCACACACACACAGCCCCTCCCACACACACAGCCCCTCCCACACACACACAGCCCCTCCCACACACACAGCCCCTCCCACACACACACACAGCCCCTCCCACACACCACCACACACCACAGCCCCTCCCACACACCCCAACACAGCCCCTCCCACACACACACAGCCCCTCCCACACACACAGCCCCTCCCACACACCCCAACACAGCCCCTCCCACACACACACAGCCCCTCCCACACACACAGCCCCTCCCACACACACACACAGCCCCTCCCACACACACAGCCCCTCCCACACACCACAGCCCCTCCCACACACACACACAGCCCCTCCCACACACACACACACAGCCCCTCCCACACACACACACACAGCCCCTCCCACACACACAGCCCCTCCCACACACACACAGTCCCTCCCACACACCCCAACACAGCCCCTCCCACACCACAGCCCCTCCCACACCACAGCCCCTCCCACACACCCCAACACAGCCCCTCCCACACACACAGCCCCTCCCACACACACACACAGCCCCTCCCACACACACCACAGCCCCTCCCACACCACAGCCCCTCCCACACACACAGCCCCTCCCCCACACACACAGCCCCTCCCACACCCCAACACAGCCCCTCCCACACACACACACAGCCCCTCCCACACACACACAGCCCCTCCCACACACACACAGCCCCTCCCACACACACACAGCCCCTCCCACACACACACAGCCCCTCCCACACACACACAGCCCCTCCCACACACACACAGCCCCTCCCACACACACACAGCCCCTCCCACACACACACAGCCCCTCCCACACACACACAGCCCCTCCCACACACACACAGCCCCTCCCACACACACAGCCCCTCCCACACGCACACACACAGCCCCTCCCACACACACAGCCCCTCCCACACACACAGCCCCTCCCACACACACAGCCCCTCCCACACCCCAACACAGCCCCTCCCACACCCACCACAGCCCCTCCCACACACACAGCCCCTCCCCACACACACAGCCCCTCCCACACACCCCAACACAGCCCCTCCCACACCACAGCCCCTCCCACACACCCCAACACAGCCCCTCCCACACACCCCAACACAGCCCCTCCCACACACCCCAACACAGCCCCTCACACACACACACAGCCCCTCCCACACCCCAACACAGCCCCTCCCACACCACAGCCCCTCCCACACACACAGCCCCTCCCACACACACAGCCCCTCCCACACACACACACACACCCCCAACACAGCCCCTCCCACACACACACACACACACCCACAGCCCCCCACACACACACAGCCCCACCCCCCCCCACAATTCCCTTTTCCTTGTGCTGCCCATAATAAGGTAATCATATATAATCTTTGCATTTGACCCCAATAATAACAACAATAATCCTTGCATTTGATAGAGCGCTTTTCACGTCTTCTGGACGTCCCAAAGCGCTTCACAGAATATACAGTAAAGTGAATTGACTGTATATTCGTGGGCCAAACGCGGCAGCCGATTGTGCACAGCAGCGTCCCCACAAACAGCCGTGGATCGAAGTGACCAATTTATTATCGTTTCTTTTCGAGGGATTATTACCGGGCGCGTGGGGTGAGGAAACCTGCCCGAGGGAATCGAACCCAGGTCTCTCTCGCTCGCAAAGAGAGTGTTCTAACCACTGAGCTACAGGACTCCCAATTGGCAGATGGAGATGTCTGATCGTCTACACACTTCTCCTGTGATATAACAACATTACGTTGTTGACGGGGGGAGGGGGAGAGAGGGGGAGTGAAAAGTTATGCAATGATTGCCCGTGATTTTGCCACTTTGTCCTCGTGTTTGTGCGACGCTGTGCCAAATTGCCTTCTTTCTCCGGCAAATAGGGTCCTTACTTTTCACTTTAGATCCCTTTTCGCCCACAAAATACACAGTCACTTCACTTTACAGTATGTTCTGTGAGATGTCTCTACGACATGGTAAGGTGCTGTAACAAATGTAAGGATTATTATTATTATTATTATTATCCTGTGAAGCACATTGAGACACTTGAATGATGTGATAAGATGCCAAATGAATGTATCATCATTATTATTATTATTAGGGATTTTGTTCGAAGTACACTTACAAGCAAGTGCGGTTCTCGTGGAGTCCTGTAGCTCAGTGATTGGAGCACTCGCCTTGCAAGCGAGACACCTGGGTTCAATTCCAGGCAGAGGGCGAAACCTTGGGCAAGTTTCCTTACTCCACACACCTAATAAAAATCCCTCCAAAACAAAAACAATAATAAATTGGTCATTTTCAATCCACGACTGTTTGTGGGACGCTGCTGTGCGCAATTGGCTGCCGCGTTCGCCCACAAATATGCGGTCAATTCACTTTACAGTCTATTCTGCGAAGCGCTTTGGGACGTCGAGAAGACGTGAAAAGCGCTATATCAAATGCAAGGATTGTTATTGTTGTTATTATTGTTCTCTCCAGCCTCCCGATTGAAATAGCATTTAAAAGGAATATCAATCTGAACTGGGATCGAGATATCACTCACAGAGAAAACAATCTGAGACTGCAGTCATTTCTAAAATATGGTTTCAGGTCTAACGCAGCCGAGACGTGTTTTTGAAAGCTGAACCCGTCCTGCAGTTGACCTTTAACTCTTTCCCATTTCAATCCTCCCAGATTAACCATGCGGAGTAATTTTGCTAAAAGCCAGATTTGCTCACGTTTTCACTGTGGGATTAAATATTTTGTGGAAGGAATGGACTGGATTGGCCTGGAGAATTACATCCTTACTGTTGGTTTTATACTGTCTCGTCACCAATGGGAGCTCCGACCACTGGTATTGAATCATAGATTAGAGGCACAGGAACTGTGATTTCGACCATCATTTTATCTTCTGTGCCTTTTCTCCACATGTACAGTCTCACCCCACCCACTCCCCTGCTTGCTAGAGAGAGCTTTGGAACTCTTTTCCACAACCCCTCTGCCTTAACCCCTCCTTCCCCTCTTTTAGATCACGACTGAAAACCTTCCTCTTTGACCGTGCTCGCGGTCACCTCCTCCCTCCCTGGCTCGGGGTCAGGCTCTGCCACTCTTAAGCTCTCTGAGACGTTACCCCATGTGAAGCTCGCTGTATAAGTGCAGGTTTTTGTTGTTGCCCTTTACACCTCTTTAATAGTTCTCTCTTTCAAGCCTTCAATTCCAGTGATAGATTCCTGTGCGTTAATCCAATGGTCCATTCACACTGTCTCACATTATAACCAGGATATGTGGAGCAGCTGGTATCCTTGATGGTTCAGGTACCAGCTGTGTTCTGGCAATGAGCCTCTTTCTCCCCATCCCCAGGCAGTGTGGTTGAGGTTGGAATCAGTAATCAAGTTGTATCCCACCATCGCCACAGCAATGTGTTGTGAGGTGAAGCTCAGGAGGTCAGAGGATTTGTGCAAACATTTTGACTTGAAAATAAGGCGTTAAAAACTTTGGTTTATCAACCAGC